AATAGCTATATTTCACTGACTCCTAACAGCCAACTCACAAAATTCATATCGTAGATAGAGTAGAGTGTGGCTGCATTTTTGTAAAAAGAAACAGCTTTCATCTCTCTTAGGTCAGGCGCTATTGACATTTTACGGAAAAGAAAGGAATTGCTTATATCTCATGAACCATCCAGTAAAAGAGGTGCAAAGTTGGTGGGTGATCAGCATTTGGAAAGAGCTATGATCACACAAAATTAGAAGTACTTAGCTATCATGGCTCTTGAGTTACAGAGGTGTCGCTACTATTGTGCGATTATTTTTTGAAAAAATAATCCCGTCCTCAAAGGGTTAATTAAATTTTGAATCCCTAATATAGCTGGGAGAAAAATTTCTATGATCTATGTCGACATTATGTCGTTCGCAGTAATGTCGCGGTAGTGTTGTTGTATCGTATCCGGCATACCAAGATCCGCTGTTTCCCCCATGGACCATATACACTTTTATACTTATTTCCTCCGCGCTGTACAAAACCTAGGTCATGTTTCTTTCGTCTCTGAAATAAGATTCAGAGTTAGATGAGAATTGGCTCGTTTCTAACTTTTGCTCTCAATTTCAATGCCATGTGAAGCATCATTCTCGGTTCAACGAATAGAAAGAGGCCGTCTCTTGATTTGAGTCTAATCTACCATCATTTTCCAAATACGAGCCATTTTCCGGTAACTTTCTTCTACTTAATTACGCCTCCTAAAGTGGTTTTGGTAATTGAATATGAAAATTTGATTCGACCATATCTAACCGAACATTTTGTCTTAAAAAGGAAACAAAGTCGGTATAGTAGTCACTGCCCGAATCACACATGCTTCACCGGCCGCTGCTTATGCTCATTCACCAGAACGGTTGTGGGAAGGTTATGATTCTGTTAATTTTGGTGCGAACGAAGCTGCACAAGGCTGCACGGACATCGCTCGTCAGCTTGTTTCTCGATCACCCCCGATCGATCTTCTTCTCGGCGGTGGTCGGAAATTCTTCTATCCAAAAACAAAAGCAGATGACGAAAATCCTTCATTGAATGGAGTACGCACAGATAATATTTCTCTGATTGATGACCTTTGGAAAGGTCGCTATATATGGAACAAGACAGAGCTTAAGAAGATCGTATTAGGGTCACCAGAACCGTTACTTGGCCTCTTCAGTTACGATCATATGCGTTTCGAAACTGATCGAATTCGGAATCCGAAAGAAGAACCTAGCTTATCAGAAATGACCTCATTCGCAGTCGAACATCTGCTCATGAAAACTCAAGACAAATACGGCTTTTTTCTGTTTGTCGAGGGAAGCCGAATTGATCATGGGCATCATTATACTAAGGCGAGATATGCTCTTGATGAGTATGTTGAATTCGATAATACTATTGGAGAGGTCAAGCGTATTCTTAAAGACAAAGGCGTTCTCGATGATACGCTACTCGTCGTTACTGCTGATCATTCGCACATGTTTTCTTTTGGTGCCGGTTCTGCACGTGGTTCAAATATTTTCGGATTCGCTACCTTGGAAAATGCTAACGTTAGCGATATTGATAAGATGCCAGTAAATATTATAGCCTATGGTAATGGTCCCAATTTTCCAGCTACTCGAAATAGGACCTATCTCGATTCAATCGATTTCAATTCGACCGAATACCGTCAGCCAGCAGCTTTGCCATTGATAGAAGAAACGCACGGTGGAGAAGATGTGGCTGTGTTCGCTCACGGACCATGGAGTCATTTGTTCACTGGAACAATGGAACAACATACCATTGCGCACAAAATGGCTTACGCCGCTTGCTGGGGTGCCTACAAAACCAGAAAAGGATGTATATAACAAGTCAAACGACTTCTATCATTGTTCTTACTAGTGTTGCTAGTAAAAAACACATTTCTCGCTCTCTGTCTTCGATCGATAATCGATGAAGTTTCAAACGCTTTGTGATACTTCTAGAGACATTTCCACACGACGCAAATAGTAGTGACAAACAGTATTACACTTACATTAGAAAAGTCATTTACAAAACGGAGTGTGACAGAGTAATGACACAATTTTATGTGCAATTTTGGATAGCTAGATGATAAATATTCTCTACAAACTACTGAATAATATATACAGAATATTTTTAAACTTTTTTTATTAATGAGAAAAAGTCCGATCAAAATCCGAGCTAGTTTCGATGCAGATGAAGATTCCCATAGATATACTTAAAAATGAAAACGTTGTGGAAAACTGATGATAGGTCAAAATTGTCAACTAAAGACTCCGAATATTTTATCAAAATTTTTCGAGGCTTCATAATTGAGATCACTTTTTATAATTAAAGAAATAGAAGCGATCTCAGTTTGGAAATGGCATATTCTATTAATTCTGAAACGTGATTCCAGTTTGGAAAATGACCTTGTAGCTCCTATTTTGATAAAATATAGATTCCTAAACTGTATATAATAAAAATGGTATAAAATACATAGAGTGAAGTGAAAACTTTGTAGCTGATACTTTATTAAAATATGAATTCTTAAACTGGTTGTTAGTACATTTAATAGTACCGGATACGATACGTCTTACTTATTAGGTAATGCAGCATAAACAACTAACTTCATACTGAATTCATCCCATGTATCAATACCGTAGCTTTGATACAATAGCTTTAGTTGCCTTCTGAACGTACCATCTGCATTTCCGTGTGGATTAGCACTCAGAATTTGTAATGATTTTGGTGATGAAAAAACCAAAACTGGATAAGGAGTTGAATTGTTACAAAATAAAACACATTTAAAGCGAATGTATGATACACGAATGTTGGACGTAGACATTTCAATACAGTGTTTTAGCCTTTCACTTCAGACTATGTGTTATATACAACTTTTATTCTATACAGTTTAGGAATCTATATTTTATTAAAATAGGAGCTACAAGCTCGTTTTTCAAACTGAGATTACTTTTCAAAATTGATTGAATATGCTATTTCCAAACTGAGAGCGTTTTTATTTGTTTAATTCTAAAAAGTGATCTCAATTAAGAATGAGCCAAATTTTTCTACCTATCACTTGACCATGCTGATTATCAATAATACTGTTTTTCCTACTATTTATAGAAAAAAACTTCACAAAGACATGGAAATTTCTCCAGAGAAATCATATACAATTTAAGAACAGAGTTGTTCAACACTTGACGTTCGTGGTGATAGAAAAAAAAATCATTCTCTGCAAAATAGCAAGTCGATAAGAGTAAGAAATCAGTGTCATGCATGTTAGCAAGCAACATCGATGAGGATCATCTTAATTACTCAGTGTTGGATACTAATCTTTTAATTAGAATATGTCGAGTTTTTCTGTATTCGCTATGATACTTACATTGTCGTTAGAACTTGAGCAGAAATTAGATATAGTTTAACACTAGACCAAACTATATGTCCGAATATAAAATCGAGAAAGAATGCAGGAAAGGTGATTTTACGATTATGTAACAAAACAATCAAAAAGGTTCAATTTCGTGCTCGAGCGCTATCGATTTCGATCAGTAATAATGTTAGTAATTTACCTGAACGAAAGGCGGTGGCATCAATGTATATTGATCGTATATCATGTATATATACTACATTTAGAATAATTCAGCGTTCTTTTTATTTAGTCTGTTTAGAAAACCCTCATTAATTAGAATAATATATACTCTACTGTTTTCAATACACTGTATTAATTAGAATAATCTATATTATACTTCAAGTTTTATTTTTCGACGAAACAGGAACAGCTAAAGCTTTATTTTCGACGAAACAGGAATACTAGAAAAAAAAACTTCCGACGAAACAGGAATATCAATTAAGCTTATTAAGCGATCAATTAAGCTGATTGTCAAAGATGATGAAATTAAAACAGAAATAATTAAGGGAAATGGTATACATGTGCTAATTGTATGTGCATTTCAACTTCAATTTCATGTTGAAACAGTGCAACAATCATCGTTAGAAATACTTCAAGCTGTCAGTTTTGAAACTGAAGCTGCTAGTATAATCAAAGAGCAGGAGAAATTTATTCAACTGTTGAACGATATTGTATTAGCAAATGTTTTCCCTCAGCGCATTCCAGCTGATGGTATCCTGTTTAACTTAGCTGAGCACCAGGCGACAATGATAAAAGATCAAACTAAAGCTTCTTGGGTTCATAAACGCATGCTGGTAGGATCCGTTGCTACCTCATTTGAATACGATATAATGATTAGTTAGTTACTGTCATAAAAATCGTGAACTATGTCACAAAATTTGTGAATGTTTGAATGTTGAAACCTGTTACAAGGTGTGGATTGATAAAGAAAGAATGTATGGATCTTTAATGGCACGAATGGCGGAGGGCGTCGAAAAATCTGAAATTGTTCTTCTTTGTATGTCATCCTCATACAAAGAGAGTGACAACTGTAAATCTGAAGCGATCTATCAAGAATTTCGATCGTATAGGATCGGCAAGATATGCGTTTATTTCATCGGAACTACTATCCATTTCAAAATAGAAAAAGGATGGTCATTTTCTCAATAACTTTTTCTAGGAACCAGCTAAAAAGTTGCGGTTTTCGCTGTTCAAAAGAAAAATGTTGGGGCTACAAGAAAAACTAAAAAGTTTTGTCCCAAAATTACCTGCAGGTGGTGTACCTTGCGAAGATATTTTGCGA